TGAGGGGAAGTGGGAGGACGGTGGCGGACGGGTTGGGGGTGAAAAGGGAATGCTTTGTGTTTGCACTTTGGAGGGATTCTGCTAGAGCGGGCTCTCCCCGTCTATTGCGGTAAGTGAAGGAATCGCCTCACTCTGCTGGTAGTCCTGGTTATTTAACTTGAGGAGAAGTATTTTGCAGCTTTTTGCATAACAACAGGATGCCACTCGGGTTTTTGTGTTACCTTTGTATTATATATGTCTGTGCATTATAATTTTGTTGTGTTGAACTTCCGTGAGAAGTTCCCTTGAAAGTGGTACAAGCACGGTCTATACGGTATACACTCAAAAGGGTGTCCCACCACGTGAGACCCCTGGTCCAGCAGGCCTGGCATGACCACCTGGCTGGCAGCTGCAGCAGCCCCAGAGCTTCCAGCAGAAAAGGCACGCTTCTCGCAGGAGATCTGCTCTCTCAGGTGGTGGGACCGAGCCGCACATCCTCCCCCAGAGTGGCAGCCGCCTCGTCTCTCCCCGACGGCCCAGTGACACGTGGCATCAGCCGCACAGGGATGGCGCTACCGGCCTGGCCGGGCCTCTGCCTCCGATCAGGGGCTCCACAGCGGCCTTTGCTCTGCCACTGAGGGGGCCAAGCGCAGCACGTGACCAAGGTAAGTGCTGTTTGGCCCTCAGGCCAGATCCTGCACGCAAGGGCAGTGGCTGCCAACTCTGTTGGGGTCAAAGGCATCGAAGGTGCGCCTGGACATAGGAACAAACAGATTCTGAACCCATCAAAAGCCCCTCCATCTTTTCCTCCATAATGTTTGTCTCTTTCCGGTAAAAAAACAGACGGAAGCCACCAGGGGCCAGGTTTCAAATGGAGGATGTCACCCCTGGAATCCTGCCCTCCGAAAAATTCCCACCCTCGCCCATGACAGGCCTGCCTGGAAGGCCTTTCCACCCTCGGTGCTCCAGTGCGGCACGAGCGCCTTTCCGTCTCCGGCCGGGAGCGCGGAGGCCCTGGGATGCTGGAGGGACCGGGGCTGGGTCAGAGGCTGGACGAACACCCAGGATGGAAGCACCAGTGCGCCACACGTGCTCGGGCCCATGCTCTGTGCACTGACTGAAAAGCACGTGCATGCTCTCTCTTGCTCTTGCTCTTGCTCTTGCTCTCTCTCTCACACACACATTTAAGCTCGTCATCCTTAACTGCGGTCCCTACATGGAGATCCCTGCTTTTGCTACCTTCAGCCATCATGCCCGGGAAGCACTTAATGGCTGCTCAGAGTAGCCCGTTTGGGAAAAGTAATCTTGAGCATGGAACGCCCTGCCGCCTCAGCACAAGGCACCCCCCCATCGCCAGAGCTGGGTGGGAGACAGCGACCCACTGTGAGAGGGTTGGCAGAACGGGCATTTCCAAGCATCTCCGTCGCCATGGTGACTGAATCATAAATAGGCTGCCAATCCCTGTCCGAGCTTGCCCCGGGGCTGGTCTAATACATTAGCCACGCAGGGAGCATCTGCTGCCTCTGCTCCGTCCGGGCGCACGGCCGTTGCCGGTTGCGGCTGGGAAGCTCCGATGCCGGTGGCAGGTTGGCCAGGACGGTCCAGCTGCTGATGCAGAGCTTCAGAACTGCCCCCAAGCCTTGGGGCGAAGCCGCCACCAGGTGGATGCACGGAAACGATGCGCCCGCCACAGCCCCCCCGAGCATCCCTGCCCAGTGGTGCCCTGCGGCCATTCCTCAGCGCTGGCCCCAGGCTCCGGCGCCCCCTGGGTGAGAAGGTATCCCCCCCCTTGCGGGGGCCACGGCTGGCCAGCCCCACCGCTGGCTGCCCTCGCCCCGCCCCGCCGCCCCGTCCTCACTGCCTCGCGTGCTGGCAGGCCGCGAGCCGGGGCAGGGTGGCCACAGCTGCTCCCACTCTCCCTGTCACCTCCACAGCTTGGGTCAGAACCAGCAGGCCTCAGTGGGGAGGAAGAGGGTGTCCCATTCTTGCTGAGGAGTGGTCTCCAGGCAGGTGCCCTTCCCTTGTTGCTGGCCCTGAATGCTAGACTCTGGACTTCATCACCTGATGGGGAGCGATCATTCCACATTTCAGGGTCTCTGCAAAACATGAGGACCCCGGAGCCTCGGAGGCCTGCAGGAGGCTCATGCGCAGTGCCAGCGGCACCAGGCACAGCCCCTCCTTCCTCTGGGAAAGCAGACAAAGGGCTCTGACAAGCTGCCCCCCCCCCCGGCTTTCTGTAGGGCTGGCCTCTCCCCCCATGCACCGGGGAGCCATCAGAAGGGAGTCGGGAGAGGAGCGCATTGCAAGGGTCCTCAGAGAGTGCCCTGCAGGATCACCCGGAGCGCACGGGAGATGCTGTGCAGGCTCAGCCGGAGGAGTGCTCCCCAGGACACCCTTCTCCTCCCCCGGAAGCCCACCAGCGCTCCAGGGGCAAGCCCGCGGGTAGCCACCCGCGAAAACTGGGAGGTGCCCCACACATTTCTGAGCTGGGAAGCGGGTCACGTGTAGGGTGGCGAGACGGGAGAGCCCGGAAGGGCAGACCGGTTATTCCCCTCGGGTGCAAATGCAGGGCACGCCAACCGTTGGGATGGCCCGGGAGAAAAACGGACCCACGGATCCGGTCCCTGGAGCCTTGGCACGTGGCCTCCCCCCTCCCGTTGCTCCCCCACCCGGGCCGCCTCCCGCTTGCGCGAGCCCCCGCGGGGCGGGAAAGGCAGGGCGCCCGAGCGCGCTTCGAGGGCCCGCCCGCCGCGCCGCCGCCGCCCGCCGCGCTGGGGGCCCGCCACGTGCTCGCCGCAAGGGCTCGGCCCGCGGTCGCCACGGAGACGCCACGAGAAGCCGCATGCAAGGGAAGCGGAGGTGGAGCCGGCGGCTTCTTGGCCGGGCGCGCAGGGGAGCCGGGCGAGCGCGGCTGTGCGCACCGCCCGCCCTTCCTCCGGCCCTGGCGGCGCGGAGGAATCCCCGGAGCCGGCGCGGCTGCCCCCGCCTGCCGACGCCAAGGGCCGGGCCGAGCCGAGCCGGGCAGGGCCGGGCGGCGCGGAGCGGAGCGGTCCCAGCAGCCCCTCTTGCCGGATCTGCGGAAAACGGGCGGAGCGGCGGCCGAGCACCGGCGCGCCCTCGTCCCCGCCTTGAAGGCGGCTCTGCCTGCGCCGCATCAGGGCCGCCCTCCTTCCCACTCCGGAGGGGGCCTTCTACCTCCCCCTGCCCCCGCCCGCCGGGAGCAGGGGCGCCTCCAGAAGCCCCCGGGGTGATGCCTGCCCGGGGCGCCGGCCTTGCCCACCTCCCCGCCCCGAAAAGCAGGGGAGCCCTCCCCGCGCACGCCCCGAGGAGCAGATAAGACAGGAGACCGCTAAAAATGCCCCTTCCAGTTTATTGGGAACTTTTTCCACTGCTCAGGTGATGGACAGGGCCCCTTAAATACATTCTCAGCCCGAGGGGCCCCTCCGGCCTCCCCCCGCACCGCCGCCAGGGGCCTGTCCTCCGCAGGAGGCTCCGTGGCGGGGCGGGAGCCGGGCGCGCTTCACTGCGCGGAAGCCGAGGCGGAAGCTTCCAGGTCTGGAGGAGCCTTGCGCCCCCGCCTCCGCCCGGAGCTGCCCCCCGCCCCGTCAGCCGAGCTGTGTGTGCCGGGCGCTCCGCTCGCTTGCTGCGGGGCCTGCCCCCCCCCGCGCAAGGCGGTGCCGTCTTCACGGGGCCCCGTTCCCTGCCCCCTCCCCCCTCCCCGCGACTGAGCCGGCCCCCGCAACGGTGCAGCTCGATCCAGCAGCCTCGGGCTGCCCTCCAGGTACGGCCACGCCCGACTGGCAGGCGGGTCACTGTCTGCCCTCCCCCTTTCTGACTCCCCCCGTATCTGGATTTGGCCCGGTGGCCCGTTGTGCGTGAACAGAACCGCCCTCGTCTCCGCGCGTCGAGCCCGGTGCCTTTGCATGGGGCTGCCCCTCTGCAGTCCCAGCCATGGGCCCCCCACACGAGGACGCGGCCCCTGCAGTCAGGCGCAAAGGGGTGGCCACGGGCCGGCTGCCGCTGGACGCCGCGCGGGCAGGGTGGGCTGCGCTGCAGTTCATCTGGGGCCGGAGATGGGGAGCGGGGCTGGCTGGCCGGAGGGCAGGATCGGGGGGACCCAGCCGTGCCCGGGCACGCGGGCAGCCTGGAGGGCGATGGGGGGACAGACACGAATGGCAGCCGAGGGTGTATAAAAAATACAAAAGGGGGTGGTGGGCTGCTTGGTGCCACTGCCCGTGCCCAAGGAAGTCTGCTGGTTTCTCGGTTTGGCACTGGTCAATACTGGTGGGGCCGTGGCGCAGAGGCAGTGCGTGCGCACACGTAAGAGAGAGAGAGAGAGAGAGAGAGTGTGTGTGTGCGTGTGTGTGTGGTGTCTAACTGGCTTTATCAAGAACACTTAGTTTAAAATTTTTACAAAGGACAAAACACGGCGCCTCCGTTAGTGTTTAAAGAACTAAAGATCTGCTTAAAAAAGTCTTTCGGAAAGAAACAGACAGACAGGGCCAGTCACTCCGTGAGGCCGGACCGTGGGGCGGGGCGGGGCGGGGCAGGGCCCCTGGAGCCTCCGCCGGGCCCAGTGCCGAGCCCAGACTCCCCAGGGCCTCGTTGCAGGTCGGCACAGGCCCGGCACCCCAGACACGGTGCGGGTGACTCCAAGCAGCTGCGGGTGCGGCCACGCGGCCCCCATGGCACTTTGATTCGTGACTCTCCCGTGGTGAGGAGGAAAAGCCACAGTGCTCCGGCTGGCTCAGGAGTGCCCGGACGCCTCCTCCGGGGCCGAACACCCGCCAGGCAGCTGCCCCACTCCTGCCTGGCTCCCAACTCCGGAGCAGTGCCGCCCGGCCGGGCTCCATCCCACGCGGCCGGGAGGGGAGGGGCTCTGCTGCCCTGGGGCTGGCCTGGGGGCAGTCCAAGCGCCCGTCCTGGTGAGAGGCCGCCGGAGCGCCTGCCCGGCCCGGCCCCGCGGCACCGGGTCGGGGGAGGGCGGCGTTTACGGCGGGCTTGGCATGGCCCCCGGGCGGCTATACCCGGGTGGTGGAGTGCGAGTGGGGCAGCCCCGTGCTGCTGAAGTTAGCCGCGAAGGTGTTGTAGGGGTGTAGGGTCTGCAGCCCCACCAGCGAGTTGGGGATCATGGTGATGGTGTTGGGCGTCATGAGGGGGATGTCGTCGGGCGAGCGGCGCAGCGTGAGCGTGTAGTCGGGCAGGGCGGTGAGGCGCAGGGCGTCGTGGGCCGGCACGGCCTCGCAGTCCCCGTGGCGGCTCTGGCCGGCCTGCAGGGAGGGCATCTCCTCCTCGGGCGCGTGGCTGATGTCGTTGGGCGCGGCCGCCCGCTGCGGGCTGGGCTGGCGGTGCGTGTCCTGCCGGCGCTTGTCCTTGCGGTAGTAGAGGGCGGCGAAGGCCAGCACGTTGAGGAAGAGCAGCGAGGCGCCCACGGCGATGGTGACGCTGAGCTCCGTGGAGTAGTCGCGCGGGTTCTCCACCAGCAGCGTGCCGGCGCCGTCCTGCTCCGGGCTCCACTTCTCCGGGGAGCCCTCGCTGGTGTAGGCGGTGGAGATGGCCGGCCGCTTGGTGCTCCAGGCCTTGCCGCCGGGCCGGCGCGTGATGTGCGAGTTCTGGGTGGCGTCGGGGGGCGGGGCCTTGGTGGTGGTGGACGTGTAGTGGAACATGTCGTGCAGGTTGTACAGGTGCGGCACCAGGTGCTTCCAGAAGGCCACCTTGGTGGCGCGGTAGTGGTCGCGCACCCTGGGCTTGAGCCCAATGTGCAGGTAGAGCTGGTCCCGAGGGTTGTACTTGGACCATGCCACCTCCTCAAAGCGGTTGGCCTTGGTGTGGATGAACTTCGTGTCCTGCGGCACCGGCTTATTGGGGTCCCTGGGAAAGAAAGAAAGGAGGCGCAGGTCAGCCACGTGCCGCCGTTGTGCACGGGCCCTCGGGGAGCACGCTGCCCCCCGAGGGCACGCTGGTCCCGCGCCTGGCGCTCTGAATGGCGACTCCCACTAAAATGGGATTGCATGACTAGCAGGAACGGCGTGCGTTGCTGCTGGACCAGGAGGCTCCCGTGGACGGAGGGGAGGCTTTGGGGGGCAGCATGCCAGGTCCCCCGTTCATCCCTGGTCCTGCACTGTCCAGAAGCAGCTCTCCAGCTTTTCCAGCACTGGCTCCCTGGCTGCTTTTCAGCTGGAGGTGCCGCTGGCTGAGGAAGGTCCCAGCCCAGTGGCAGGGCATCCCTGCAGCTCCACAAAATGCCCGCCTGGGACACTGGAAAGCCGCTGCTGCCGGGCAGTGTCAGCAACGCCGGGGTGAATGACCCGGGGCCTGACTCAGTTTGAGGCGCCCGTTTGTGTCCCTCCGTGGGTCACGGGACCGGCGGCATGCAGAGCCGGGACAGGCACCGCCTCCTCCCACACCACTCTCAGCAAGCGGCCCGTCCCTCGAACATGCAGCGTCCGGCTGTGGACAGCAGGAGGGGCTGGTTTGCAGCAGGAACCTGGCACAGCCCGGCCGCTTCCGGTCCCGGCCTGGCCTTTCGCGCTGGTGCCGACAGGCAGAGGCCGTCGGAAGAGGCCGGCCCCCCCAGCAGCGTGGGCCCTGATGGCACCGTCTGGGGGTACCTACCCGGTCTTGGCAAAGTTAGTCCAGTAGGTCATGACCACGGCGCTCAGCATGACGTCGTTCTTGGAGAAGTTGCAGGGGAAGAGGTCGGTGGGGCCGATCATGGGCACCCCGAAGACGTAAGGCACCTCGTCCCCGTGGGCCGCGTCGGACCAGGGCGGCTTCATGAGGCTCTGGCAGTGGTGGTAGAAGGCGTAGAAGTAGGTGGGGGAGCCGTAGCGGGCGTGCAGGTCGGCCGTCACCACCGAGGGCTCCACCCACTGGTGGTCCGTGAAGAGGGCCACCAGCGTCTTGCGGCGCGTCTCGGGGTTGTCCCGGTCGGCCCAGTCCGTGTACATGAACTTGATGGTCTCGCGCAGCGTGTCCTTGCCCTCAGGGTAGCCGTACAGGTTGTCCACGAAGTTGGAGACGGAGTAGTCGAAGTCGCTGCCCGAGACGCCGTCCTCGGGGTCCACCACCCCCTCCACGAACTTGAGCCCCTCGCCCTGGTTGACGCCCAGCATGATGTCGTAGTTGAGGAACTCGCCCTGCTCCATCAGGATCTCCGGGTCGTCCGGGATGACGTCTCCGTCGATGACGGGTCCGAAGGCCACGTGGTAGCGCGCCGGCTGGATGTCCTGCTCCACCAGCTCCTTGGCGCTCTTCTGCCTCAGGCAGTCCACCATGTCCACCGTGTCCAGCACGTTGCAGCCCACCTTGTCGGCCAGCAGGCTGGTGTACTTCACCGGCTGGTAGTTGACGGCCCAGCTGGACAGCGCGGAGCCGCTCTGGATGACGGCCCGCTGGAAGAGGCCTGCGGGTAAAGACGCCGGGCAGGTGTGAGTGTTGGGCGAGCCGAGCGGGGCCCGCCACGGCGGGAGGGCGCCCCGGGGTCACCCGGGGCCCCAGCGGCCGCAGCTGGCCAGGCACTCCGGGGAGTGCCGGGCCAAGGCGGCCAGAGGGCACAGGGAAAGGGCGCCCCGGAGCGCTCCTCAGGCCCAGAGGGGGAGCCTTGGCACCTGTGAGGAGCCGGCACTGCAGCGCGCGTGTGCGCGCACGTGTGCCTGCGGACCCCTCCCGCCCCGGCAGTGTCTGTGCCACTTGGCTCCCGGGGAAGGCCCGGCCCTGTGCAGCGGAGGCGGCGGCAGCTGTCCTGGGAGCAGAGGCGCCCGCCCGCTCCTTCGTCCCGGGCCTGGCTGCTGGGCAGAGCGCTCCGGGCCTGCGGCAGGCGCCCCCACCATTCCTGCTTCCCCCCCCCCCCCGGCAGCAGCGCAGCCGGGCCCGGCACGACTCCTGCCCGGGCTGCGTGTGCCGAGGGGCCGGCGCTGCCGCAGCCCTCCTGCCCTGCCCCTGGCCCCAGGCGGGGCTGCTGGGGGCCGGCAGCTGGGGGGTTAAGCCCGCGCCACTTGACCCTGCGCGTCCCTCCGAGAGGAGCTCGCACTTCCTGCCCAGCTGGGCCCCGCTCTGTGCCAATCGGGCGCGCAGAGCAGCAGTGCCCCGGCGGCACAAAGGGGCCTTTCTGCTGGAGGGAACACCAGAGGCAGGAGGCGCGGGGCCTAGGAAGCGGCCCACAAAGGCCCTGGGCTGGCAGGGGAGCGCTGGGACCGAGCCAGGGTTCCTTCCCGGGGACTCGTGCCTGGAATGCCAAAAGGGGCCGCGGCGCAGCTGAGGTGGGGGCAGGGGTGAGGGCGGCCTGCAGGGCGAACCCCTGTCCCAGGCCTGCGCTGTGATCCCAGTGCATCTCCGGCTTCCCGGCACACACGCGGGCTCACGCCGTGCGCGACGGGACGCGTCACGTGCAGAATCCGCCTTTGGCAGAGGAAAGCGTCCAGGAGGTCCGGCGGCGTCCCGGCCCGGCCCGGCCCGGCCCGGCCCGGCCTGCCAGCAGGTGACGTGTCCCTATTCCTTGGTGTTCCTGACCTTCCCTCTGGCGCAGGGTGACTCATCTCAGGCCTTTGCCTGGCTGGATTCGTTCCTGCCAGCTCCGTGCCTGCCTCCTCCTCAGTCACACGTTCCATTTTGCCTTCCTGTAAGTGCCTTTTAAGTGCCAGGGCGACTGATTTTATATTGTTATTTCTTGTATTTTAATTTTATGTTGTGAGCCGCCCCGAGGCTTCGGCGAATGGGGCGGCATAGAAATGTTTTAATAAATAAATAAAATGTTAAAAACCGCCTCGCCCCCAGGCTGCATCTGAGAGAACAGCAGGCTGGTCCCTCCCGCCGCCCTTCGCCAACCAGGGACTCGCTCCCGCCTGCAGCCCACCTGCTCTGCTGGGGCAGCATCCTGACCGCGAGCCTGGCAGGCACCGTCGCAGGTGGCATGTGGCGAGGGCCCCCCAGCACGGCACGAAGGGGCTGCTGCGGGGGCCACGTGTGCTCCCTGGGCCTGTCCTTCCACCATGGGGCAAGCACACCTTCAGAGTGCAAGGGCCACCCGTGCCCACCACAAAACCGCCCCGTTCTTGCCCCTTGTGCCCTTGTCCGAAGCCTCCTTGGGCTCCACGGGGCACAGAGCTCAGGCTGGCAAGGGGAACGCACGCAGCAGGGCCTTCTCACCAGCAGCCCCTCGCTCCTCAGGCAGAGAGGCTGCCGCCGCCCCTGCAGTTGCCCAGGATCTGCTCAAGACCTGTGCATTTGCACAGAGCTTCCTCTCCCGATGGAAGGCATTGCTGGCTCCACAGTATCCCACCGTGGGGACATGAAAAGCACGACTGCTGTGTAGGGTTGGGGCAGGCCCAGCGCATTAGCCCCCCGGAACCAGCGATGCGGAAGAGTGGGGCAGAGCTCAAGGGGAGCGCTGTGCCTTTGCAGGGCAGGGGGTAGTGGGGAGCCTGTTCGTGGAGGGAATACCAGAAGCAGGCCTTTCTGCTCTGCACCTTCAGTGGCAGGGGAAGCATCGCAGCTGGACTGCCCGCCCGCCCGCCTCTCCCGGCAGACCCCCTGCCTCCCACCCGCGCCGGCTCTCTTCCCCGGCTGCTTCTTCCCCCTTCCCCAGGGGCTGCTGCATTTCTCGCCTGCTCCGCTTGCTGGCAAATGACGTCTCGCTCGCGCTGCAAGGTGTGCGTGGAAATGCGGGCTGCGCAGAGCGAGGCAGCAGAGATCCTCCGGTTCTTTGCTGGCCCACGAGCCTCTGCAGGGCAGCTCTGGGGCTGATCACCCTGCAGGCAGAAGTCCACTGGTGACGGAGCGGGGAGCCCAGCAGCCCGGACAGCCCTGGCGATGGCTCCGGCATTTTCCAGCAGGCGCAGGGATGTGGCCCTCCCCTCCCCTCCCCGCCCCTCACAACAGCGGTGTGAGCCCTGATTAATGCAGCCACCTGCTCTCGCAGCGCCCCCTCTCGCTCCTCCCGCTCGCACTTGTGCATTCCGCAAACACGCGCACACGCACACGCACAGCGCCCTGGGGATCCATGCAGCGCGCGAACGGCACGTTCCTGGGGAAGGAAGCAGGCATGGCTCCCTCCCCTCCACACCGCCGACCTGCTGCCAATGCTCCGCCCGCCCGCCAGGCGCCCTGGCACCCATGCTGCCAAAGGGCCTTCCTGCCTCTGCTTCCCCAGCTCCTTTTAACGGACTTTGGGCACACAAAGCCCATCTTCCACCCACACGTGATGAGTCTCCCCAGAGAAGACACTAATGGTGACTGCTCCCTCCACAGAAATGACCCCCAGCCTCCCTCCCTCCGGTTCCAGCCACCAGGCAGGGTCCCCCAGCGACAGCCGCCTCCCACATCCCCTCTAAGCTGCAGCCCCTGGTCCTCTGCAGCAGCTGCTCCCCGCCCCCCCCCCCGACAATTCAGTAAGCTCAGGTGACTCCAGGTGGAGGACTCCTAGACTAGGGAGGAGCTGCTCCCCTGTCTCTTCAGCAGTGCTCCTGAAGTGAGGAGAAAGGCGGAGCGAGGGCAGGAAAGCCCCGGAGGGCATCGAGCAAGAGGCGGCAAGGTGCGGGCACCATCAACGCCGCCCCTGCAGGTGGGCCCGACCCCCCTTTGCACATCAAGGCAGCAGGAAAACACTGTGCTCTGGAGTCGTGGCAGTGCCTTGTGCCCCATAGCCCTAAGGGGACCTGTCAAAATGTTCCCAAAGGGCGAGGCAAGTGCAGCTCCCTCCACAGGCCCCAGGAGCCAGCTGGGCAGATGCACGATCTTCACCACGCTGAAGACGATTCGCCCTTCTGAGAAAGGAAGCGGAGCTTGGGCCATGGGGTGTTTCCCAGCGGTGGGGGTATCACAGGCTGCCTGCAGGAGGGACCGCGGGTAACTGCTCCCCCAGGCCAGGGCAGTGCTCCTCACGTGGGGGGCTAGCTGCCGGCTGGGCATGCCTGGGGGCCACTCCTGCACAGGCGTGGCTGGTTTCTGGGACCCATTCACTCAGCTTCCAGCTGCCCAGTCAGCACCCTCCGGTGCTCTCTGGCTCCCGCAGCTGCGTTAGCAGGTCCAGGAGTGCAGGATTTGGCCTAAACCTTACTCTGGAGTGTGGCGTCCATCAGGCCTGCAGGTTTCGGAAAGCAAATCCAGAAGCAAAGCGGGCCCTTTGCACGGAGCCCCTCGGTTAGAGTTGGCTTCCAGGCCCGGGGGCAAGGTCCCTTGGAAGGGGCCTGTGGAGCCCTTCGTACACCTGAGCGCAAGCCTCCCCCAGCCGGCCAGTCCTGCAGCCGCTCCCCTTGGATCCGGAGAAACGCAGCCGCAGCAGTTTCAACCCCAAGTGGCCGCGGCCATTTCATGGCGTATCACTGGCTTCCCCTGGGCCCAGTTTGCAGCTGGTACTTCTTTTTGGACAGCTCTCCTTGTGCCTCCTTCAACTAAAGCACCTGGGAATCCGAGCCCGCCCCTCGGCCCCTCTTCACCTCCTGACCCCACCTCCTTCCTGCCAGGACTCCTAGACAAACCTCCCCGGAGAACATCGGACTGGGGAACGTCAGAAGAAGAAAAGGGACACCAAGCACCAGGCGGCTTCACCCCAGGAAGGAAGAGGCAGCCTGGGCTTCGAGCGGCTGAGCAGGGCTCCGGTGGGCAAAGCGTTGCCTCCAGGGGGCAAAGGCAGTTCGAAGGAGCCCAGCAGCCCACGATCCTGGCACTCCCGGTCCCGGGACACGCGCATTTCACGGTTGCCCGAATGCCCCCCCCCAGTGCCACTTCTCGGGCACGGGCACGCTGGCCGCCGCCTGGCTGACGGCAAGGCTTCACGGGCTCACGCGGCGGCCTCCCGGGAAGACGATGCTGGAGCTCGCCCCCGTGGGAGGGCGCAGAGAAGGCGGGGGGCGCGAGGCCAGAATCCGCGCACGTCAGCTACGGGAGGGGCCGAGAGGCCACGGGGAAGGGGTTCAGCCTCGCCCTCGCCCCGCCAACACCCCCCTCCCCAGGGGACGAGGACGCGGGGCGCTCACCTTCCGAGTGGTGTGACAGCGTGAGTAGGCTCACACAGGAGGCGCCAATCCCAGACCCGAAGACGGTGATTCTCAGGGGGTCGCCCCCGAAGAAGGCGATGTTCTCGCTGATCCAGCGCAGCGCCTGGATCTGGTCCAGCAGCCCGTAGTTGCCCTTGGCGGCCTGGTCCCCGGTGCTCAGGAAGCCTGGGGACAAGCAGACCGCGTCGTGGGTGTGCCGCTGGCCCCGGCGAGGCAGGGCGCCCTCGAGCCTCGCCCGGGGACCCCGCGGGGCCCACTGCCGAGGGCTCTTCCGTGCGAGGATGGCTGAGCGTCGTGCGGCTGGGCCCGCTGCTGAGGCGGCTCGTGGCACACGCACCGTCGCTGGGAACACGTGGCTGCTTTCCCGCTCGGTCTGCGTCCGGGAGGGCCGTGCAGGCTGCCGAGAGCGCGGTCCCAGGCACGCCCGGGTGGCAGAAGGTCCCGCGACTCCCGACGTGCCCGGTTGCCCTGAGCAACCCTGGGCAGGCCATGAAGCCCCTGGCCCGTCGCTGAGGCGAGCCTCGGCTCCCTCGGCCGGAGCAAGCCCAGCCCGCCATCTTGCGCCGGGGAAGAGCCGGCCCACAGGCGCTGCCTCAGCGCCAGCTGGCTGGGGTGCCCATCGGCCCTCCCGGGCCTGCTGTCGAGCTGGTGTCGCGCGGTCCCCGGCAGCATCTCGGCGAGGCCTTGCCCCATATTTGGGGGTAAGGGGCAAGACTTAAGTGCTGGCGGAAGTGGCAGCTCTTAATCTGGATCCTTCCTGTCGTGTTTATCTACGTTATACTTGCACTTTGCTTTTGGACAATCTCAAGAAAGTTGGGCCTTAAATGATCAGGGGAATCTGTGAAGGAAAAAGGCGACTTGGTGGGCGAGTCCAGCCATTTCCTCTGGGCCTCCAACCCTTCACCGAGGCTCACGGGCTCTGGTGCAGACGCAGCTGCCCCCCAAATCAGAGCGGGCCATTAAATACGGGCACTGCCCCCTTCCTGGCCCGGGGCAGAGCAAGGCGCTTGAGGAGGGGGCAGGGAGGGAGGAGGCGGAGCGCAAAGGCAGTGGCGAAAGACCCCCAGGGAGGACCCTTCCCTGAGCAGAAGCAGCCGGGCCCGGGGACCTGCTCAGCGTGGCCCACAAGGAGAGGGGGGCGCTGCCCCTGCCCGACGCTGGAGGTGCCAGGCCGCTCCCAGTGGAGGCACGGAATACTCCCTCCGGCACAGCTCGCTCACACTGCTTGCCAGGCAGCGAGGAGGGCAGGGCAAACACACTTATTCAGTATTTAACCACAGATCAATATTTGCTTTCTGCCGTGCCAGGATGTGTAAATGAGACAGAATTCCCAGGCAGGCGAAGCGGCCCTCCTGCCATCCGCCCAGCTGGTCACGGGAGGCTTCGACAGAGAGGTGGCTGGGCCCCGGTGGGGAAGCCAGTGGGGAGGCGCTCACCCCGCTCGGGCACAGCAGCCCCGTCCGGGCTCAGTCTGTGTGAGGCAAGCACGCTCCGCCGGGTCCCCGTGGCGTCGGGGGAGCATCACGGATGCAACGGTGCTGAGCGGGGGCGCCCCCGGGGCTGGGCAGGGGCGCCCCCGGGGCTGGGCAGGGGCGCCTCGGCTCGCAACAGGCCTTCCTCCGTGGGGAGGAGGGCAGGTGGAATCCCCACGCCTCCGGCCAAGCAGTCTGGGAGAGCCGAGCCGGGCAGGCCCTTGCCGGGTGCTCGTGGCCCCCGCCCGCCAGCCGCGTACCCAGCACTCCCACGCGGTAGTTGAGGGTGATGACGATGACGTTGCCGTAGCTGGCCAGCACGCTGCCGTCGATCATGTTGCCCGTGCCCTCCATGTACGAGCCCCCGTGGATGTACACCATCACCGGCTTGGCCCCGCTGTCCCGGATGTCTGCGGAGAGAAGCTAGAGACAGGACTCCGGCAGGGCCCCCTCGTCGCCACGGCCAGACGAGGTGGCCAGGCGGCTCCTGGGGCGGCAGAAGAGGCCCAGCCTGGCCTCCAGGGCGCTTTCCTGCCCACAGAGCGCGCCCATTGCCCTGCAACTCCCAGCCGTTGGCGCAGATGCAACGAGCCGGGCACCGTGGGGAGGCCTCCTGGGCCCACTGCTCTGCTGGGCCTGGACCAGGGCCCCAGGGCCCCCCTGCAGGGACAAGTGACCAGCACTGCCCCGTGGGAGGGAGCCCCTCCGAGGCGACACTGCCCAGGAGACGACGCTGTCCCGGGGCAGCAGGCAGGCAGCGCGGCCTCCTCTGGCTCTCCCACTCCGCCCACAGCAGCCGGGCCCCTCCCGGGGGGGCCTCTCCCAGGGCCCCTGCTCTCTTCAGTCGTTGCTTCTTGGGAGCAGCACACCCAGCAGGGACGGCTGGGCCTGGGGAGTCATTTGTGGACCTGCTTCCCCTCCGGAAAGAGCAGCCCTGGCCCACCAGTCCTGCCGTCGCAAGCCCCCCAAGCCCACCTGGCAGTGGCGCCTGACAGGGCTGCCCTGCGTATGGAGGACCAGCGCTCCATTCACTGGAAGCTACGCCCTGGAGCGCAAAGTGGGTTACGGCGAGGCTTACGCCGGGCAGGATGCTGCGTGGAGACAGAGGCGGCTTTCCCTTTTTTCAGAGATGCTGTGATGGCAAGCGACACCAAGGTTTGGAGGAAGACCCATTCCCAGATGTGGTTTTTTAAAAAGACACTAAGAAAGGGGTCCCCGGGGCAGTGCGTGGATCCTTTCTGCTGAAACGGTGCTCAAACACAAAGGGGGGGGGGCAAGCCACACGTGGCCTGACAGGCCAGCCGCCCCCCAGCCACACAGGGAGGCATTCCCAGGCACTGCCCCTTTCCCTGCTCAGCCCGTTTTCTGATGCAAAGGAGGATGGCAGGACAAGCGCTGGGGGGGGGGGGGCACGGGAAGGGGGCGGGGTGGAGGCGGCGCCATCTGGGCGCACGTCCCCTCGGGCCGGCTGAGGCTGCCACGGCCCTTGCCAGGAAGCCCCGAGAGGGGAAGCGGTGCTGCCCTGGCATCTGGGAAGCGGCCGCACGTCTCCCGGGCAGCTCGGTGCTCAAGGTCCTCCGAGGGCAAACGTGCCATTGCCCTTTTGCGGGGAGCCCGGTGCGCTCCTACTGGGTGAGCACGGCACCTGCCGGTGCAGAGAGGCCTTGTCCCTTGGCGATGAGCCTGGGGCAGGGGCACGAGGAGAGGCGGCCGGGAGGAAGCCGGCTTGCTCCCCCTTTTGCAATGACTGCCCAGCAGCAGGGACCGCAAGCCGATCCCTCTTTCTGCCGCCAACAGGCAGCTGCACAGAAGCACACGCTATTCCACAGGTGAATGCTGGCCGGCACCGAGAGTCCAAGGGCAGCGTCCCCTTCACATAGGCTGGGCCGGCGGACCATTCCAGACCCTGCCATCAGCAGGCCCTGCTTGGACTGTGGACACCCGGACCAGCCTCTTCCCTGCTGGATCCCAAGAGAGGGCGGCAGCCCCTTGGCTCCTGGCTGCTCCCTCTGCTCCATGGACCGTGGGAGGTGCTTGGCCACCAGCTGCCTGGGGGAAGCCATGGCCCCCTTGCACCCACGCCGTGTGGCCGGCAGAGCAGCTAGGCTTGTCCCCCACATGGTGTCAGAAGGGCTGGAGCCTGGCCTTTGGACGGGGCAGCTAACACTGGCGGGGAGACCAGCCAGCACGGCAGAGGGGCGTACGTGTCCCTTCCTGCTGGGCTTGGCCTGCCTTGGGGGGGGGGTGAGGGCAGCCAAGAGGAGGAGGAAAGAGAGAGCACACTGGAGCAGGGGGAGAGACACCCGGGCGGCGGCGGCGGCAGGTCCCCGGGCTCCTTCGAGGCCGGCAGATCTGCTATGCTATGCATGGGTGGCAGGCCAGGCAATCAGTGTGTGGGGGCGGGGGTGTCCGTCAAAGAAAAGTATCTCTGATGGCTGGTGGGGAACGGACTGGAAGCTGGGAGAGGCCACGGTGTGCCCTGGGCCACTCTCCTTCCGCTTGCCCCGCTGGCGCCCACCTTTGCCTGCGAGGCCGTTGCCCGGCAGCGATCTGGCCCTGGGAGCAACCGCAGCCGCCCGGCCGGCTCTGCATCCCGTCCCCCTGCCCGCATCCAGGGGGGCGGCTGAGGGCCCCAGAGCATTCCAACCCTGCGCTCTTCCCATGCACCCGCTCAGCACACGGAGACAGAGACACAAGCAGCGGGGGCGTCCTGGGATGGCGCAGCGGAGGAGGAGTGCATGAGAGAGAGAGAGAGAGCGAGCGAGCGAGCGAGCGTGTGAGAGCGTGAGCTCATGCAGCGGTGGCCACCTGGCACACACAAATACCTTCATCTTCATCCCCGTCATTATCTGCTAAGTCCTCGCCCTGTTTCTTAGCGCTGGAGCCTGAGGACCAAACACGAGGAGACAGAACAAAAAGGAAAGGAGAAAAAAAGGAAAACAAAACAGGAAGAAAAGGAAAAAAGAAACAAAAGAGAATTCAAAAATAGCATGATTGCAGAGAAGGTGGGCACGGCGCCCGGGCAGCGCTTGGGCTCCGCTAAGCACCTCTGCCCCCTCTGACCTCCAGAAGCAGCACTGGGGGGACGGGACGGGACGGGACACAGCTGCCCTTCTCCCATTCCTGGGCTGGGCAAGGGGCTACTCGCCGCAAGAGTGACCCCCCCGTCCACAGAGATGCCCCCCCCACCCCCAGGCGTGGCAGGCCGGGGCCAGGCCTGTGGGCGAGGGGCCAGGCTGCGAGGCGGTGGGGGGTCACACGCTGGGGCTTTGGGACGGACATGCATGGGCAGGCACGTCCCGCTCTCTTTCTCTTCCCAAGCAGCGGGATTCCCTGGAGGTTCAGGAGGCACCGGGACCCTTGGGAAAGCCAGCAGCCCTCGGCAGAACGGGGTGGCTGGACGGGGCAAGCCGCCTCTGCGTGAGGAGACCGAGCAGGGTGCCCCCTGTGGGGTGCACCGCCCAGGGCCTCGCAAGTGTGCAGGGCTTGCCCCTGGCTGCCACACGGACGACCCACGGGATGCCCGGTGGCCCACCCGCGCCAGGCTTGCTTGGAGAATGCACGAGGTGGGTGCCGGGCTGAGTGGGGGTGGGGGGGTGCCGGGCAGGCCGGTGCACGCGTGGCGCTCCCGCGGGGGACAGAGGCCAGCACCCGCCTGCCCACCCTCCCGCGGGCAGCAGTGGGGCCGGGCGATGGAGGCTGCGAGGCGCCCGGACGGTGGCCTGCCTGCTCCCTTGAGGGGTGCTGCACCCACTCCCGACCCAAGCCCGCCCAGAATGGCCTCTTCAGCCCAGAGTGTCTTGTGAGCCGCACGGAGAGCCCAGGTAGGGGCAGAGGTAGCTGCGTGCTGAGTGAAATAAGGTGTGAAAAATAAAAAATCTGCTCGGACAGGAAGCAGTTCTCCAGGGTCTGACGACCTGTCCCCTTTTGCCCCCTACCAGATCCCTCTGAGAAGCTTGGAACTGAACTGGGGAAACCTCAGACGCAAAGCACATACCTTGGTCTCTGCCATCACCCTTTAGGTTAAAAGAATGGCTTCCAGGCTCATGCCCAAGTGCTGTTCGCACACACCAGAGGGCAGAAATGAGCCCCCTACAGCCCCGAATCTCCAGGCCAACTGGGGGGATCCTAACCGTGGGGTCTAAGGTCTCTTTGTGAATGCCCCTTTTAGGAGGCTGCTGCCTTTAGAGCGGAGGGTCCTGGGGTGGCTTTCTGGAGGCCAGTAGGGAACAGAGCTTCAGCCACGCTCGTTGCAAACGGTTGGTTTACCGGAGAGCAGGCCGGCAAACGCGCACTTGGGAAGAAACGGATGCTGCTTCAGCGAGTGGGATCTGAGCCCCCCCCCCACTGCCGCCGCCGCAGGCCTTGTGGCCCTCCACCCACAAGACCACCCAGGTGCCACAGGGACTGGTCTCTGCTCCTCTGGCCATGGTCACTGGTACAAGCTGTTTGCAGCTGCCCATTTTTAGGCAGCAGATGGGTGAGGGTCAAAGGGGCCCCCTGACTGCTGCCCCCTCCAGCCAGGCCCAACACGAGGGGGCTTTCCTGCCCCCAAAGCTCTGGGCTGCCAGTGGCTCCCCCACCGCACAAAGTGAACCTGCCTGGGAGGTGAAGCCTCCACAAAGCCAGAGGGCAGGAGACGGGGGGGGGGGGGGGCAGAGCCCAGCCCGCCTGGACCAAACAAAGCTCCCCTGTCTCCAGCCACCGCTCGGATGCTTGGGCCGCACCGTCGCCATGGAAACGGCAGAAAGAGAGAGAGACCACGCTTCCCATCCAGAAGCTCCATTCCCCCCCCACCCACTGGTTCAGGGCCTCCTGTCCTGCTGCGGATGGCCGTGGTGGGGCGCAGCATCTCAGCCCACTCCCTCAGGCTCCCCCAGTGGACTCGGGGGGGGTCACACCTTGCTTCATCCCCCCGCCCCCCCAGGATGCACGCAGGCCCAGAAGGCCACTGGATGGGCCAGGCAGCAGGCCTGGATCGGCAGCCGGGCCGCTCGCTGCCGGGGTCCCCCAGGCCAGCACTCCTGCGACGTCCGACTGCAGCCGCCCATCCCTGGCTGCAGGCGAAGCCCCCCCAGCTCGGCCGGGTTGCTCCGGGATGCGAACTGGGGGCAGCTGGGCCAGCGCCCTCCGCCTGTGTTTCCGCCACAGAGCTGGAGCGGGAGGGTGGCGGAGGCTACCCACCGGGGCTGCTGCCCCGGAGGGCCATGTGGGGCCGGCACCTGGGAGCTCCCCCACGTGCAGCAAGGCAGCTGCGGAGAGTTCCAGGCGGGCGGGGGCCAGCCGCCCCCGCCTGGTTAGCAGAGCTCCACGCAGCCAGAAGCGTCCCCACCGCTGGCAGTGCAGCGGCGCAGCGGACCCTGCGGGCCCCTTCAGCGCCTGGGCCCTGGGCTCCAGCAGCCCCTCCTCCCTCCCTTGAGCCCCCCGTGTGCGTGCACAGGGCCGGGGAGGGCGGTCTGGGGGGCGCCTGTCCTTCATCGGTGTGCCAGGTGGGCACGAGCCGTGGTACGAGGGCAGAGTCCCTGGCAACCTCCCCTGGCCACGAAGCGGCCTTTCTGCTGAAGTGCGGGAGTGCCATGCGGGGAGGGAGCGCAAGCAGCCACTGCCGGCTCGGTGCACATGTCCCGCTGCTTCAGAGCGAGGCTTGGCCCTCGAAGGCAGGAGGGCACCAGAAGCCCCTCCATCACCAGGCAGAGGCGCAGGTAGAAGTACGTGGCACCCAAGAGGTGAGCGAGGCTACGTCCAGTCACCGCCTGCGAGTTCGTGGGCTGCTGGCAGGCATCCCGATCTGTCAGCGCCTGGCCGCTTTTTTGGCGGCATGGCCAGGATGCCAGGATTGAGCACACGAGCGGGAGCCTCGGCATCACAGGCAGGCCCAGCCGGGTCGGAGAGCAGAGGCTCCAGAGCGAGAGGCCCTCAGCGCCATCTGAAGCAGGGGCTCTGCCGTCCCTGTCCCAGACCTGTCTCTGTCTCCCACGGCCCTGAATCCATCCCAGAGAATCTGAGTATCTCTGGCTGCCAGAAAGACTTCTTTCTCTCATCCGAATTGCCAGAGGGGGGCAGCATTTATAGGGGACTGCCTCTGGGGAAGGAAGAGTTAATTTAATTCTCCCTCTCCTTCGTGTGCCGCAACATCCCACATCTTTTCCTGCTTGATGATTACAACAACTACTACAAGCACTACTTGTGCAAGGCCCAAAAGTAAGGTGTGAGAGGATCAGGGCCAGGGTGCAAATTAACTGGAGCATTTATTTTAGTTCAGATAATCTGAGAAAAGAATTTGCTGGTTTTTCCACCTGTGGCATTTAAATAACTCCTAAGAATGATGTCTAAACTCACATATTGAGATATAAATGAACATACACATTTGTGTCCTATGGGTGCTGAGCCCAAACGTTTTAAGTGCTTAGGCACTAATCCTGGCCTGACCTAGCCTAGGTCCGCTCTGGCGTCTCCCTCCTGTGATCTTTCCTCACAATTGTGCCCTCGCACTACCCTGGGTAATTCTGGCAGGTCACAACACGCGTGTTACAGGCGGGTTGGCCGTGGACTGCGCACCCACGGCCTCCCGTGACCCATGTAGGCAAGGCTGCCCATCCTAAACGAGCCGCTTCACAGAAATTCGCCCCGGAAGGTCAAGGTCGCCATAAGAAGAATTACGGCCTCCTTTCTCAAGCGCCTCTTCACAAAAGAGCAAACGCAAAAGACCCAGTGAGGACCAAGGTCTGGGGAACAGATCAAGCCTTTCTCCCCGGACACCGTCCTGGTGGAGGTTGCTTCTTTCCAGCCGTTATTTCCTTCATCCGGGCTGGGAACAGCCCAAAGTGATGCGTCGCAGACAAAGGAGCACCTGATTCCTTCCAGGTACAGAACCAAAGGGGGGGGGGGGAGCTGCCATGCTGTTTCGGTCCCTGCTGCCATTTCTCCCGGCAGAGGCTACCCGGAGGTCCTGCCTCACGCGAACTCTCTTGTGAAAACACACGGCACTTTGCCACATTCTCTGTTGTGCTGAATGTCTCATTCTCTCAAAGCCGAGGGCCAGAAAGGGGATGTGTGTCCCAGGCTGCAAAATCCCTTGCTGGATTATCAATGCTGAGAGTGGCCGCATTGCCCCTGCTCTCCCTCGCGCCTGGAACTCCCCCTCCCCAAGCCCCTGGCCCACTTCTTTAGAACTTACCTTTGTGTGAAGTCCCAGGCTTAACCCCCAGTCCCCACCCACCACTCAAGCCCAACTTCTAGGCACAACACCGGGCGAAGCGCTTGCCACCTGCCCTCCCGCCACCGACACCGAGGCTCGGGCAACGGGACGGGCCGCAAGCAAGCTCCTTCCTCCTCTGCTTTGGAGGACTGCGTTTGTGCGCGCTGGCTCCATGCAGCAACCGGGAAATGCCCGCACATGCTGCCCAAGCGTTCCCACCACTTCACGCCTCAGAAGCCTGTCGGGGGAAGGGGGGTCATTGCAGCCCCCCCCGCCCCCCCCCCCCAGTGCTTCGGTGCTCTTTCGTTGGGACAGAGGCGGCCTGTGACACCAGGGGCCCGAGCGGCGAGGGGATCATGGGATGCTCCAGAGCCGATTTCTGCACAAGCACAACCCATCCGGAGGCAGGTGCTCTGTTACTACGGCGGAGCTGGGCCGGGCCAGGCGGGGTGTGCAAGCCACTCCGATTGGCAGGTGCCCAGCGGGTTGGCACTGGCAGCTCAGAGGCCGGCAAGGGGGCCTGGATTTCAGCTGTTGAGCCCAGCCTGTGCCTGCCCCATGCCCACAGCAGGCCTGGCCTGGCCCAGGAGGCCAACGTGGCCCGTTCTGGCACAACGCGAGGGAGGCCCTTCGCCAAGCCTCCCAGTGCTCAGCGTGGAGGGGCCCTGGGAGCTGCTAGGAGGGGGCCAGTGAGCAGCACTGGGGAAGAAGTGGGCACGGAAGCCCCTTTGCCGCCAAGGAAGGGGGGCCGCACTCAGGATGGGGACTCGGCCGTGCCCAGAGCCACACGGTTTGACCTGCCCCCAAGCCAGGAGGGAAGGCATGTTCAAAAGGGGGCCCCAAAAGTCAAGGGCATGGGAGGGGAGTCCTGGGGGCATGCATGGAAGAGGGGAAAGGCCGGGGGTGCGTCCCAGTGTGTCCACGTGCCGGTGACACCCGCACCAGAAACCCGAGGCGGCTCGCACCACGTGAACGAACGCGCGGCTGGGGCCGAGTTGCCATGGCGACTGCAGCCAGTCATGTCCCTGCCACATACCCTACATACAAAACTGGCTGATGGGGGGGGATGCCAGGGAGGCACCATTTTGCTAGGCAAACGCTGAGCAACACTGGGCACCGCACGCTTCCCCTCTGCTGCCAGGGATGCCGGTGGGCGCGCTTAGCACTAACGCCAATCCAGAGGCTGGGAGGGCAACAGGGAGGGCCAGAGGGGCCTCCCCCCCAGAGGCCTGTAGGACGGGTGGCCTGCACTGCAGGGCCGCAGCTGCTGCTCCTGGCTGGGGTAGGGGTCTCCCTGTGCCACGTGCTTGAAAGGGGGCTGGAGGAGAGAGAGAGCTCTCCAAGCGGAGAGGGGTGGACAGACCCATCCGGAGCTCCTGGGGGAGGCCCCTCCACCTGTCCCCGAACCAAGGGGCCCCTGCCGCGCTCACCCTCTCTCTGGCCTGTCTCTGTGCCCCTCTGCCAGACCAAGGCTCGCAACCTACCTCCTTTCCTACAAATTTTCTTGTTGGGTTTTCTGGCGCATTCCTTGGAAATCCGTTTTACTGTAAAATGAATAGAAGACTACAAAATAACAGAAGGCTCCGCTGGGCCGCGTGGCCATGCACCCCTCCTCGCCCACGGGCGCCGCCCCCCGCCCCGAGCCCCTCAGGACTGACCGCGGGGGAAGGAGGGGGGTGGAGGAGGGCAGCCCCTGGCGGGAGGCCCGGGCCAGGGAAGGAGGCTGGGGGAGAGCGCTAAGCATGAAGCGGCCGCCTCGCCCGGGAAGGGGCTGCGGCTCCCCCCAGTGCTGCTGTGCAGGTACGAGGCTCCCCCCGTTCCGCTCTGGCTGGGCTGGGCTGGGCTGGGCTGGCTGGGCTGGTGGTGAGGCTGGAGCGCCCTCCTGGCGCGGCTACTTACGGTTCGAAGGCGGCGGCCCGCTGCAAAGGAAGCGTTAGGCGGCGGCGCCCAGCCTCACCACCAAGGGCCCGGCCCGCTGGCGCGCTGGGCGCGGGGCGGGCCGGGACGAGGCCCCGCCGCCCCACTCGTCGCCGGCCGTGGCGCCGCGCAGAGAGGCGCGCCGGCCGCAGCTCGCCCGGCCGCGGGCGAGCGGGTTGGAGGCGCCGCTGTCCGGCGAGGGCGAGTGCGCAAAGCGCGCAGCAGGCGGCCCGCGCGACACCCGCTCCTGCCCACTGGCGATCCGAGGTGGGCAGAGGGGGCAGAGGAGGAGGAGTCCTGGGGAGGAGAACCCACACCGACCCCAAGCCCCCACCCCCGGCCCCTTGGCCCCCGAACCAGCCGCTCGCCGTGAAGATCGGAGACCGGCCCGGCCGGGGCGTTTTCTCATCTTTGGCAACACACGAGAGGAGCCCGTGGCGATGGCAGAGGAGGAAGAGGATGCCGTGGCGGGGACCAGGATGGGCTGAGGCAGCGCGTGTGCGTGCGTGCGTGCGTGCGTGCGTGTGTGTGTGAGAGAGAGAGAGAGAGAGAGAGAGCGAGAGCGAGAAAGAGAGAGGGAGAGAGAGGAGATGGCAGCCGGGAAGAGCGCGGGACAAGCAGCGTGGCCAGAGAAGCGTCTCCACACACAGGCGGGCATGCACCAGGCAGGGAAGGGCGACACCAGCATGCGCGACCACACGGGACCACACGGCGGCCGGGGCTGCGTTCCTGCTGCGCCCCGCTCGGGACTCACCATCCTCGGTGGGGATGTAGATGTTGAGGTACAGGCAGTCCTCGTTCGGGTCCTGGATGTAGGTGGCCACCACGTCCAGGTTGGACGTGAACCAGATGGGCAGCATGATCTCGGGCACGGCCGTGTGGATGTTCTGCGGGCACACTGGGGAGAAGTGGGTGGCGTTCCGGATCCCCGACCAGGAGGAGGGTGGCTCGGGGGGCATGAACCGCTTCTCCCCAACAGGGGGCGCTGCGTAGGGGACCCCCAGGTACTGGTCCACGGGGCCCAGGATCTCGCTGGGCAGGGGCACGCGCACCCCCCGGAGCTTCCCGTAGTGGGTGTTCACCGTGGGCGAGTAGGCCTGGCTCTCCATCTGCCCCACGGCCGAGGCAAAGCTGAGGATCCACAGGGCCAGGCGCGCCTCCCAGCCGGCAGCCACCTCAGTCACGTGCAGACAGGGGGGAAGGAGCGGCGGGCTTTGCAGGAGTGACCGCCACATGGTCTGGGGAGGGCCGTGCCGGGAGCCAGGCCTCAAGCAGACTCTGGGGGCTCACAGAACCCCCATGGCGGACGGGAAAGGTCTTCGGAGAGGGGTCCGGCAGGCTGGCAGCCAGGCGGAGCAGCCAAGCGGCAACAGCGGGTTCCTCCAGGGGGCCACCTGGCTGCCACCACCGCTGCCTTTTAGCAGGTGCAGTCCCTCGAGGGCAGGTGGTTCTGTGGGGGAGGGAAAGAGAGCAGAGAGATGGCTCACCAGCAGCCCCACCAGCCCCTCTAAACTCAGGTCGCAAAGGGCATGGAACCCACGTGAGCAGTGGGGAAGAGGAGGGCTGCCCCAATGCCCCGCACAGAGCTCCATGCAGGTGCTCGGGCAGCTCCCGCAGGGGCAAAGCACCGGACTGTCTCTTGCAGTGCCCTTCACGGGCTGCTCAGCCGTCTCCTTGCCTGGAGGGCTCGTGCCCCTGCCGCCAATGCAGCGGGGTGGGCACCCGCAGCCAGGGCAAAAGCGCCAGTTGTCCAGGGGCTTCCTGGCTCGCACGCAGCACACCCCCATTCCCGAAGGTCAAAGCGCCTCTCCGAAGGCCAGGTCCTGGCAGCCGGGGCTTCAAGCCAGATCGGGCTGGTGGGACTCGCATCTTCTGCGTCTGAGCTTGGGCTGCATCCCCTGCCTGCACAGCCCCCACCTCTGGGCTGTGGCCCCCAAGGACTCCTCCAAAACCCAGCCTGGCTGCCGGGATAGGATGACGTTCCCACTGCTGCGGGGAAGCTACAGGTGGGGGTTGTTGATGCGCCTGGGAGAGAGAGCCAAGCCCCTTCTGCCCCACAGAACCAGGCAACGCCAGGGGTCTTGGGCCAGGGACTCCTGCACACCACCGTCACAGCCAGAGAGGACAGCAGGGGCTCGAGCCACCTGCGGAACCAGCAGGGGCCTCCTGCTCGGCTCCTCGCCAGAGCAGAGAAGATCCTCAGTGGACCACTCTGTCTCCCCCGCCACACACACACACACACACACACACACACACACACACACACACACAGAGTCTCTGCAGCCATCTCCATCTGCACCGCCGGCATCGCTTGGGAGCCTGGGCCACCTGCCTTCAACCGTGCTCGGCCCCGCAGGGCCAGGGGCAGGGCCAGGGGCAGGGGCTGGGACGTGCTCGAACGGCAGAGACAGCTTTTCTTGCCGCTCTGGAATTACAGTTCTGCAAGGGAGCTTTGACACCACACTCATTGCCCGCCAGGTGCAGCTGCAGGAGTCTGTGAAGGGAAACTGTGGCTGTCAGAAGGGCGCAAAACCCAGGAATGCCTGTGATCCCAGTGGGTCCTACAACTCACCCTGAGAAACAGTGGCTCTGCGGGGTGGGGGGGGTCTCTGGCAGGCAAGTGAGCGTTTCAGTGGGTCAGGTGTCCCTGGCATGCAGCTGCTGCAAAGAGGCCGATGCCCTTGGGTGGCTGCTAGCGCTGGAAGCAAACCAGGACCGGGGTTCGTTGCAGCCCTTGCGGCTTCTCGCTTAGAACAAAGGTAAAGGAGGGGACGGGGCGCAGGTGTGGAAAGGATCGCTGGCATGCAGAGAGGGGAGCATTTTTCTCTTCCTCTCATAGTACCTGAACCCTACGGGTTCATCCCATGAAACTGAACGGGAGGAGCTTCAGGAAAGACCAAAGGAAGTAAAAGCAGGGGGCCCCCTTCCCCAGGAGAGAGTGACGGCTGCACGTAGTGAAGGCAGCTTGGCAAGGGGACTGGGCCAAGCTGGAGGCGATAGTCCTGATGGGGACACCTTGGCCAAGAATCGGAGGCAGGACGCCCAGGCAATCTGCATGGGGGAGTTCCAGCACTCGCGCCCCACCGCAAAGCCTCCCCAGGCCAGGCAATCCCACACCAAAGCAGACGGGGGCGGCTTCATACACACCTCGCCTCTTGCCTGCATGTTCCGCAGACACAGGCGGATCTCGCTCACACGCTGTTCCAATCAATATTTTCCTGGGCCGCTTTTCCAGAACAAACAGCTTTCGCTTTCCACAAGGTTAGCACAAGTGAAGCACTCACTGCCAGCACTCAGGCGCCCGGTGGCCTCGGCACCGCTGCTTCTGCCTGAGCGGGCGGGTCAGCCCCCGACTCGGTCCCCCCTGCGCTGCTGCACCAGGGCCTCCGCTGCCAGTGCCAGCCTCACTGCCACGCACGCCAGGCTTCCTGGTCTAGCGGATGATGCCTTTTCCGTGCCGGGGCTTCCGAAGCCCTCGAAACCTGACAGTGCGAGATGCGATCTCCAGGGGCTCCATGCATCATGGAGCGATCCGCAGGGAGAGGCAGAATCACCCAACTCAAACATTTTTATCTAGACCGACGCATCGTTTGGCACAGGCAAGTTTCTGAGTCTCACAGAATTCTTCAGACAACGGGGGCTCGCCAGTCCAGAGGAAAACCCAACCAGCCCAGTCTGGGTGCAAGTCTCCTTCGGTTTGCAAGCGATTTAGAAATGGCACGCAGACCGGAAGAATCACGGAGTGCGCCGTTCTCCGATTCTGACAGGCATTTTGGTTTCATGTTGGCCCCACCTGATTTTTTTGCGCGACCACCCTGACTAGATTGTGCAGGGGGAGCCCCAGGATTGTAAAAACAAACGAACAGTTTACGGATCAAGTCTTGCAATATTACTGTAAGCACCTCCAAGCAAACAGTGTGTGCGATGCAGTGGGAAAGCGGCGGAGGCGAGGGGAAGCTGCCAGGGCCGCCCCGGTCAGTTCCACCCCCCCTGCAGGGACCTCTTGCCTGCATGGCCGGCACGCCCCCCCCCCCCCCCCCCCCCGCAAAGTGGGGCAACCAGGCCCATGTGGAACCACAAGAGCGGCGGCGCCAGGAGGCCGAGACGACGCCCAGGCCAACATGGCCACATGCTTGTGGCTTTCCTGGGGAGAAGGCCCAGTTTTGGGGGAGGGATGCCGCTCCATTAAGGGTGAGCTTCCCCCCCAGAGATCTTCACAGCAAGGCTGAAGCTGCAGCTTGGGAGCCCCTGCTCAAATTTGCTGTACTTGCGCAAATGTTTAAAAATATTGTTTTTAAAGTTGTATCAACATTATGCTGTTTTACTGGGTTGTATTTTTGTATTTTACTGCACTGTATACATTGCTGACAATCACCCAGTCCTTTAGCTAAGCAGGTGGCTAGAAATGGAAGGAATGGAGCAGATGGAGTGGACTGGACAGGTGGGTCTGGTTGAGATGGAAGTTTATTTATTTATTTAAAACATTTGTAACCTGTCTATACCAACAGGTCTTTGTCAACAAGTTGAGTGGGGAGATGCGAGAGTGCTCACCTTCGGCATCTCTCTGGCACAAAGCTCTTTCTGGAAGGGGAAGAGAGGCCGGGTGAATCGCCAAAAGCAAGACAGGGGCGGCTCTGCAGGGCAGCCCGACTTCCTTCGCCCCACATGCTGCAGAGCAGTTGGTGGCAGCAACTGAAGCGGCAGGACAGGTGCTTGGGAGGCGCTAGGGAAAGACGTTCCATGTTGAGGGCCAATAGAGCAAGCCAGAAGGGCCATTCTGGCCATCTAGACTGACCCCTGGCTCTAGCCAGCTTTGCTCATAACATGCCTACCACGGGCATGTCAGGGTCACCCCAGGAAGGCTAAAGCGCTTCCAGAGAGAGAGAGAGAGAGGAATGTAGCGTCTAACAGCCATGTGCTGATCAGCCCAGTGCAAACACATGAAGCCGGGACTCCATTTTCAGGCCAGCCGGCCTCTTTATTTGGAGACACTCCACGGCAACACACGCACCATATCTGATGCCAGGAAGAAACCCCACATGGGAGCAGAGGAAAGCTGCACTGCGTTTGCACTGCACTGATTTGCACCCTGCCTTTCTGCTAAAGAAATGGCGCTCCAGGCAGCTTACAGCCCTAGAAGGATAGCCCCTGACCGGAACAGGGCTGAAGCAAATGCGATTCGAAGCGGTGGCAGCAGCAGCAGCAGATTGCCCAGCAGACCTGCTCACACATCAAAGGCCTGCATGGAAGGGACACCTTGACCTGCCTGCAGGAGAGCACAGAGGCGGCCAGCCGAGCTTCCTTTGGCAGGGCGGTCTGCAGCCGGGGGGCCAGCACCAAGGAGGCCCTCCTCTCCTTGGCCTGGGAGGCCGTGCTGGCAACTCCCTCTCCCTCCATGTGCTTCAGGGGCGGCAGAAGGACCTTCCTTGTCGCCTGCTGCCCAATCTCCCCTCCATCAAGTCTCGCACCTGGAGCCTAGGCGGAAGTTGCCGTCCCACCGCTCTCCACGGCTTTTCAACCACTTGCCACCCGGCCCTTGCTCAAGCAACCTGTTGCTTCTGCCCCCGGGGGCTGTCCACCGACTGGAGCAATGGGCCCACTGGCACCGCCCCAGAGATTCCGCCCGCAGCCGTGGCTGGCCCATTTGCGCACAGTGGGTGATGGGCGCTCTGCGAGGGTCAAGTGGCCGAGAACCGGCCGGGGAAGCGTGGTGGCTTTCCCACGGGCGCAGCTGGGGGGCGAGGGTGTCCCCTGCCTCGCCCAGGAGGTGCCCGCAACAAAGGGCACCGAGCCCCACGGCGACAGATGTGTGGTGGCGAACACCGAGGGGGCCGGGGCCCCTCCTCCCAGCAGCCCCATGCGGTGGTCTGAGCACCAAGAGAAAGTGGGGAGCCTGGCCGGGATGGGGTGGCACACTTCACGCGGGGAAGAGGCCGACCCACCGTGTCTGGAAAAGCCGTCGTGATTTAGCGCCGTCTGCACATCTTTGCTGTGTCACGGCCATGACTTAATATTTGGTGGGGTGGGGAGAGGTTGAATATGGACGGAGCTGCTGTTTAGTCTGGCCCTTTGATTAATAACTTGTGGGCAGCAGCCGAGAAAGCTGCAGCAGGGCATTCTTGGTCACTCCTCCAGTCGCCTGAGAAGCCAAAGCTGTTCCCCAAGGCGCTTCACACGTCCTTTCCCAGTCCCATAGCAGCCCCACGGACCACCGTCATCCCTACGCCGAAGGCCACTGCTGGCCCGAGGCAGCTCTCCTCCGGGCCATGTTCATTTGGCAGATGGTGGGGCCCCCCAAACCTCAAAGGCCAACCCAAGGAAGGGGGCTCCCAGTTGGCTCCCAGCATCACCAGCACAGACT